ATCCTTATAGGTTGCACTTTTTTCTTTTTTCTTTTTTTTTTTATGCTCTCTCTTCTCTTTTCAAAGCCTTTTGCCTTTTACTTTCTTTTAAGAAATAAATAGAATGCATAGCTTTGGTGGGTTTTATTTGTTTTTTTCATTTTTAAGATAGGACAATTGTCCGGGACAGTAGATTCTTTACATTTTCATAGTAGTATGATATGATATGGTTCATTTTCAATATAAGTTCTCATGATTTTACATTTATATACTAATGAAGATGTTTCTCCTCACTTATATATTTAAGATCTTCCCTTAGGTTTAGATAATGTGAAACTTAAATTTCAGTCATATTACAACCATTGTTTCAATAGTTTAATGGCTTTATGCCTCCCATTATCCCCACATAAATTTGGCTTGTGCACTTTTTTGGGTTTTTAGTTTTTGACATTCACTATATAACATTAAGTGATATTTGAGTCGAAAGGAGTACAAATTTGACAGAGGGGTATCTTGAGATCGTGTAAGCATGGTTAAGAGGGGCTTAAGTTGACAGTAACTATCTATACCAACAACGTGTACGTTCTTTTTCGGTAGTTCAATAACTAAAAAGTTAAAGAGTGCCCGTTTTCCATCTTCATAGGAAGCATGTGATTGAGGACAAAATATATGTAGAAAGAACCCGTGTTGATTTGTAGGGGAAGTTTTCCCTCTTGAATCAGCTTAAATAATCACCGGGTGCTAAATTTATTCCAAATCCTGATCTGAATCCTGAGGCTATAGCGTTTCACATTATATTAAATATTGGACTAAAAATAAGATATTATCAAAATTATATTTTGTTAACCATTTAGAAATAATTACCAAAGGGTCTTAAATAATTTAGTAACTACACTACTACTAGAGCCAATAAACTTTTCTTTTTTGGTAACATATTGTGTCTTTTTTTTTATTTGGGCTAAAAATTATGTGTTTTTCAAAATTAGAAAGAAATGGTAATTAAAGCTTATGATTATGCTAGAACTTGGCCTCTATTTTAAAAGTGTTAGTGTACTTAAATTCATTTCTACTTCCAAAGGGTGATGAGTAACCAAAGAACATAGTCAACTTTTGCAAATATTGGCAACTCCACTCATGCTCTTGAAAATAAATCAAAATCCATCATGATTTCCAAGTAGAAAGTTTTTCCAATTAATGACACAAGTTACTTGAATTATTTTTAATATAATCTAGGCACCAATTGGGGTTGGAAATCCATAGTATTAATTAAAATGCTATTTTGATCTCTAACTAAATAAATATAAACATCATATTCTTATAGCCATAGGAGGGCAAAGAAAAGTGAGGTAGAAGAAATGAATAATTTTTCGGGTTCATATTGGTGATGTTTATACTTCCAAAACATTTATTTTGGTTTTTGTATTTTCAATAAATAAATAGTGAAGTGTCTTGTTAAAATTGTGATTAGAAAAATGACATAAAAATGAGGATGAAATTATCAAAATGAAACGAGACGTTTTTAAAGTATAGTGAATCAAACTCAAAAGTATATACATCAAATAGTATTTAAACCAAGAATTAATTAGTGATAAATTATAAAAGCCTAGAATGAGGGTTAAAAATTATGAAGTAGATGTCTATAAGAAAAAGGTGAGAGGGGAAAAGTAGAGACATAAGAAAGTGATGGTTTAAAATAAATATTTATTTAAGTGACACTTTTAATTAAAGCTAATTCCACTAAGTCATACCATTAAGGTATATAATTTAAATTTTAGGGAAATGGTGATTGAGAAATGGGCAAATTTGTCTAATTTTAAGTAATATGAGATCTATTTTGTTTTTGTTTAAAATAATTTCAACAATAAAGATTAAAATAAAATTTTATACACTGTTTATAGATCAAAATAAAAGTATATTAAAGTAAACCTAACATAGATATGAAATTAAATAAATTTAACTGTAACAAAATTATGTTCTTCCTTTTTTTTTCCGATAAAGAATTTTACTTTTAAGTATGATAACATTAATCTGAGAACTTTAAGATTATTAATTCAATGAAACTTTTTCTTAAATATAATAATCATATTATTATTACTACTAAAAATATCGTAATATATAATATATGATTTCTATATTTTTTTATGAAACTAAAATTAGAAAAAAAAAGCAGAAACTATTTTTAAAACTTAGATAACAAAACAAATAAATATATAGAATTAATATTTATAAGTTAAAATTTCAAAACAAAAATAAAAGAAATACAATTCTCCAGGGGGGTTCTTGTGGGGAGTGAAAGAAATAATTGATGTAAAAAAGATTTGAAGTTGGGAGTTGATTGAATAAATGTTCTTAAATAAATTGATGCATATTAAACTTCTTTTTTTTTTTAGTAAAATATGTCAGGGTTGGCGGGGATCGAACTTACAACCTCTTGTCAATGACGAAGACATCTGCTCTTCAAGGAATTCCAAGAGATACTAATCATCCAAAAATCAAATTTATGTGAACAAAAAACAAAAGATGTAATGAAAATAGAATCCATCAAAATGGGATTTGGGCAATAAAAACCAATCTGTCTATGTCTCTCTATTACATTGGAATGATCAAAAGCTTTGCTTTTTCAACCTTTCAATGGTCAAACCTTCCAAAACCAAAATCACACAACAACATCAACAACAACAACCATATAAAATCCCAAACATTCTCAACAATAACATAAAATTACTCTACTTTACCCCCTCTTCCCTATTACCAAACCACACTTTGTTATTCTAAAACAAAAATAATAGAAGAGTATCTGGCGAGACCACGGTCGACGTCGACCGCGCCATTTTTACGAGCAGGGTTCCCGGGCGACGCC